TTTTCTGCAGTAGGTTGAAGGTGAACTAGAGCTCTCTCTCTGACTTCTCTGTGATTACCTGGCTTTCTTTCCATTTTTTCTTGTTGAGAAAAAGAAAAAGAAAACAGGTGTATTACTATACATTTCTTTACTGTTGTTAAGATATACAGCTAGAATCTAGCCTAATGCAGTTGGCCCTTTGTCCTGACACTGAAGTCTCCATTAAATCCCATGGAACTGCTTCCTGGAGCCCCTGAAGGACTTTATGGGACTTAAATTCTTTTTCCTTTCTTGGAAAAGAATGTTTTCATCTGAATATGGGTGATGATCATAACTGCTTCCCTCATGGCTCAGTTGGTAAAGAATGCACCTGCAATGGAGGAGACCCTGGTTCGATTCCTGGGTTAGGAAGATCTATTGGAAAAGGGAAAGGCTACTCAATCCAGTATTCTTGGGCTTCCCTTGTGGCTCAGCTGGTAAAGAATCCACCTGCATTGTGGGAGACCTGGGCTCGATCCTTAGGTTGGGAAGATCCCTGGAGAAGGGAAAGGGTACCCAGTCCAGTATTCTGGCCTAGAGAATTCCATGGACTGCATAGTCCATGGGGTCGCAAAGAGTTGGACACAACTGAGCAACCTTCACTCACTTTATGGGTGATGATCAGTTCATTCAGAGGGTTTAATATTAAAAAAGAAGAAAAAGAAAACAAGATTAAAGCAACTTCATGTGATTCTCACGTTCTTGAAACAAGAGACACTAGCTGCCTTTAAATAAGGTGCTCAGATTAGAAATGAGAATGTAGCCTTTCTACTCAGATTAGAAATGAAAACATAGCCTTTCTACATTTTATGAAGGAAGCAGCAGTGGCAGATACACTTGAGAATATACTTTAGTGGAAGGCAGTTTCCTGGTTTGGGACTGATATGATCAGGGCACAGTGCTGTGCTTTATCTGCTTTGCTTGTAACCACTTGTGTGTTTTTTGCCTTCATCCCAGGTTGCTTAAGCATCTGCAGTCTAGTGGTTAGCCTTTGTAAGATAATGAGAGGCTTGTATTCTAGCACCCTTTACGAAAGATTTAGTATGATTGCTATTTCCAGTCCTGCAGTTATGCTGAGGGATTATCAATTTACTACATTAAATGTTCTGATTCAGAGTGGCCATTTTTGGGTCACACACTGTCTTGCCACTCACTTGGTTCATTGGACCCAGGGTAGATAAGGTGTCACTGGGGAAGCTGGAAGAAGACTTGAGGAGCTGTGGGGACTACAGAAAGGTTTTTTCTCTCTGGGCAGCAGCAGCCAGGTCTTCAAAGACTACTGTTATATTAAGACAGACAAAAGTAGCCCATGATCAAGTGGGTGCTCAGGCCCAGTGCTACCAAGGTCAGCAGGGAGGTTGTTTACCAAACACAAGGTAAGAGGCGGGGAGAGAGTGGGGCAGGAGAGCCTGAATGACTCCATTTTGTCAGTTAATTTCTCCACACACACCCAATATGAACTTGTGGTATTTTAGTAAGAAAGGAAAAAATTACTCCAGAATATAGCACAAATGATAAATTTAAATAGTGTAAACTTTAAACCATGATGAAAAACAGTTTTGAATCTAATGCTTCATTTAAAATATTACATTGAATAAGTGTCTTCCTGACTCTGTGGTGCCAGCTGTGCAAGAGTGTGCTCAGTCATGTCTGACTCTGTGACCCCGTGGACTGTACCCCATCAGGCTCCTCTGTCTGTGGGATTCTCCAGGCAAGAGTACTGGAGTGGATAGCTGTTCCCTTTTTCAGGGGATCTTCCTGACCCAAGGATCCAACCCACGTCTCCTACATTGTGGATTCTTTATCCATTGAGCCACTTACTCTTATTATATGGGGTTTAAGTGTGTACTTTCAGAAAAAATACACATGAGACAATAAATTTAGTGTATATTTCCATGAAGGTTGAGTCTCCTACCATAAATCTCTACAGTGAAGTGTTCTGCCTGCACTTATTTATAAGATTAATTCATTAACTTTATTGCTTAGAGGTGAGTAATCTAATAATATCTATCAGAAATGATCACTCATTTGACCCTTATTTGCCCTTGTGGTATATGTCTACTGTGAGCACATTTATTACTTTTTGAAGATAATGGTTTCTTATTTGGCAAATATTGGAAGTAGAATGAGTAGAAACTGAAATTAACACCATGCATAAAACACTCTGACATATTAAAACAGACTGATCACAAATTGCCTGCAGGCTTTAAAGAAAAATATAACTTCAATCAGTTACTGTTTTAATTAGTCATTCTTTTTATTCAGCAAGTTTTGATTAAAATTTTACTGATTTTGAAACATCTTAGCAAAGAGAAATAGTCTTATTTACTATATTCTTCCATTTAATACTGCTAAATAAACATGCATAATTCTCAATATCTCCTTTTAGATTGATGGTATAGACTTGAGTAGGGACCCTTATTACAGTGGGAAATGCTTAATTTCTGTTTTTTGTATGACATTCAGCAGTAGTTTGGTGATAATTAACAGAACCTCCTTAAGGCCTCCATAGTGTCTGAGGGCTCTGATAAAAGCTCAGTCTGAAGCAGCTGCAGGTGCTGGTCAGGGTCTCAGAAGTGACGGACTCCTCCTCCTGCAAAGAATCCTGCTTTAGTCCCCTAGTCTTTGAAGAACTTCATCCTCTTCAAGGAGTATTCTCAAGAGAAGGTGAGGGAGTTAACAATAAGTAGAGGCTCTAATTATGATACTGTGAGGCTTTTCATTGTTTAAGGAAGGAAGAAAGGTCTTTAAAAAATAAGCTGATTTTTTTTCATAGACTATCTTAGACAACACTTTTATAGACAATACTTTGAAAACCAGGTGGATGCTTCCTACCTTATATGTCTTAACAGGATGTGAATTTGCTTTATGAGAGGAACCTGAGAGAAAAAATGTTCAGGTCACGTAAGCCAGGATGGGCAAAGAAGCATTCCTGTCATCATTGTAAGCCTTTGCTTACCCATCTCACTTTTCCCAATTGGGCTCAAAGCTGGTTACTTAAGCTGGCCTTTTTCAAGCCCTTTATCTCCTCAAATACGAATGCTTGAAGAGACTCTTGTTGTGGGCCCCAGAGTAAAATCCTGCCATAGTTTAGAGCCTTGGAGGGAAGGTGGAGGAATATCGCAGACCAGTCTCCTCTCTCCTGGTGACATCATTTGTGTAAATCTAATGGAAACAGCTGAAGGAAGAGAAATTGCCTGCATGTTGGAATCTTACAAAGAATAAAAAGTTTTTCTAAATGGAGTAGAGTGATGATTATTCTCTGACAAGGAACTCTTACCATTGCTTAGATGGTTGTTTAGTCTTTGGTCCTAAATTCCAGAGTTTTAAAGGAGGCCTTAAATGTGGTTCTTGTGATTTTTTCAGTTCAATTCAGTAATCATTTTGAAATATTCTGTGACCTGTGATTTTCAGTGCTTTAGAGGCATATTGGCTGCTTGCTCAACAATGTGCAAATGAAGCTCCCTTTATAATGTCTTTTTAATTTTGGATTCTACTTAGGGGGTACATCTTTTTTTTATGGCATACCATGTGTTTTCTGCATCCATTTCTCTCTTATAAGACTTAAAACTAAGACAATAGAGAAAGACAATGTGGGAGGCTGTCATTTTTCTTCATGGCTGGAATGAAAAAATATCTATATTCATTTTCCTTCTCAGGCTTTTGTGAAATGAGGAGGAACAGAATAGCTCTAAGGCCAGGCAGGATTTGAACATGGTGATTTTGACCAGTTCCCACGCACTTGTGGAAGAGTCAGGTCTCCTCTTATTCCCACACATATGCATCCCTGGTCTGCCCCCTTCATTGAAAGGAACCAATTAGACTCTTCTCTGCTGCTCATATTCTGTGTCCTGGGTTACTAGAGCCTTCCAGAAGAAACTTAAATGGCATACATGAGCTTATGTACAAGATTCTCTCTTAAACACAGAAAGAAAGAAAAGAAAGAAAATGCAGTCACTCAGTCTTGTCCGACTCTTTGTGACCCCATGAACTGTAGCTTGCCAGGCTCCTCCATCCTTGGGACTTTACAGGCAAGAACACTGAGTGGGCTGCCATTTCCTTCTCCAGGGGATCCGCCCAACCCAGGAATCGACCCCGGATCTCCCACATTGCAGGTAGACTCTTTAACATCTGAGGCACAAGAGGAGGCATATATTTCTAGAGTAATTTACCTGTGACTCCTGCTGAAGTAGATGAATAGGAAGAACTATTAAATTAAAATAATGTTATTATGACACAGGTCACAGTGGGTTTCAGGTCCTCCTGGCTTTTCAGTTAGTAACGAGGTTCTGTGAGGCATTCTGTCCTGATGCATAGGTGAGAGAACATGGGACCAGCTGGTAAAGGACCAGGGGAGATCTCTCTGTAGAAAGAGGAGCCACTGGCCTCAGGAGCTGACTTCTCTTTGCACGTGTGGGGATGTTCATTCACACCTATAGAGAGAGTCCCCATCCCAGAAGGCTGTTTTACCAAATGGAGAAAGGAATCCTAGTTTATTCTTCAGTGCAATGTGAAAATAGTTAACGATTTTCCTTTCAGGCACAAACCTCAACTAATCATGCTATTGATGTTTCCCAGCATCACACCAGGATTGACAGTTAATTTATGTAGATCCTGATGTAAAGTTTCTCAAATAATTATATCCTCATTGTGTGTGTGTTTTTAAGCAGATATTTATTACTAGGAAGGTATTTAAAATCAAACAAACAAATCTTCCTTACTTTTCTTCAGTTTCTTTCTTAATATGAAAAGACTTCTTCAACACTACCTTCTGTTAGTGTTCAATAGTCCAGAGGATATTTTGTAGCACACTTTCTACAATGGAAAATTATTTTAGAGGTACTATTTTGTAAACATACATTTGAAACTTTATTATTAATAATCACAGTGAATTTTGATATTTTATATTTTATTTCTGTAAGCACAGGAATAAAATGAAAAGAGGTTAAGGGAAAAATATTCACTATTTTGTTGCATTTTAGGAGCCTGTTTTATTTACTGGAACAATGAGGAAAAATCTGGATCCCTTTAACGATCATATGGATGTGGAACTGTGGAATGTCTTAGAAGAGGTAATTTATTAAATGTAATGTGTAAGCATGAGTACATATGTGTGTACATTTTTAACATTGTTGGTAATTAAAGGGAGATTATCAGTTGAACTGACTTTGTTTACCTCCTAGGAAAATACTGATGACATGAGTGCACTTAAAATGTGTGTATTGATGATGGTGATGAAAACCAACAATATATTGCCTCATGTTTCTATTTTTTCTTTTTCCCTAATACTGTGAGCAACTAGATACATTATCTTGTCCTTAGCAGAACACTAAATTAGATGTTAAAGCTGTGGGATCAAATTCTACTAGTGACCTGGTGAATTAATTACCCTAATTACCCTCCGATGTTCATTTTCCCCTGGTCTTAGGAAACATCCACGATGTGGAGACAATAGTAGTTGTTCATTATTAACTTAAAGATGTGACAGATTATACCAATAAAATGCTATGCATTTCTCAGGAAAGTGTTTATAAAGGTAGAATATATAACTGGAGTGTGATAATGGTTATTTATTGGTGATTATGCCATTTTAATGCTGTAGCATAAATGCAGCTAACAGAACCCTAGAGCATTTGCTCACTTTTTATGTGGACAGGTTCATTTCTAGAGAATTTTCTGTTATTTGTATCATGTTCGCCCTTTCCCCACTTCTTTGAATTTCCTTACCATTGAATGAAAAATTTTTTGACTATTAAGCTTCCATTGTCTTGTGTATTTTAATACAAAGTACTTTGGGTATTTTCCATTGTTTTACAAATATATGGCAAAAACTCTAGACGCCTAAACTGTAGACAGACTTCTAATTTCTCATAGAACCTAGCTCAGTCTTGTGCTTTTAAAAAACAAGCATGTGCATTCTAATACGGAGAAGGCAATGGCAACCCACTCCAGTACTGTTGCCTGGAAAATCCCATGGACGGAGGAGCCTGGTAGGCTGCAGTCTGTGGGATCGCTAAGAGTTGGACACGACTGAGCAACTTAAGTTTCACTTTTCACTTTCATGCATTGGAGAAGGAAATGGCAACCCACTCCAGTGTTCTTGCCTGGAGAATCCCAGGGTCAGGGGAGCCTGGTGGGCCGCCGTCTGTAGGGTCGCACAGTGTTGGACATGACTAAAGCGACTTAGCAGCAGCAGCAGCAGCAGCGGCAGCATTCTTATACACTAACAACAAAAAATCTGAAAGAGAAATTAAGAAAATAATCACATTTACCATTGCAACAAAAAGAATAAAATACCTAAGAATAAACCTACCTAAGGAGGCAAATGACCTGTACTCAGAACACTATAAGATACTGACAAGGGAAACAGAAGACAACACAGCCGGATGGAGGGATATACTAGGTTCTTGGACTGGAAGAATCAATGTTGTGAAAATGACTATACTACCCAAAGCAATCTACAGGTTCAGTACAATCCCTATCAGATTACCAATGGCATTTTTCATAGAATTAGAGCCCAAATTTTTATAAGTTGTATGGAAGCACAGACCTCGAATAGTCAAAGCACTCTTGAGAAAGAAAAATGAAGCTGGAGAAATCAGGTTCCCTAACTTAAGATACTGAGTTGGCCAAAAAGTTTGTTACATAAGATGTTATGGGAAAACCTGAATGAATTTTTTGGTCAACTCACCACAGAGCTACAGTACTCTAGATGGTATGGCACTGGCACAAAGACAGAAACATAGATCAATGGAACAGGCTAGAGAGCCCAGAGATGAACTCACACACCCATGGTCACCAAGTCTATGACAAAGGAGGCAAGAATGTGCAGTAGAGAAAAGATGGTCTTTTCTCTTTTCAATCGAGAAAAGACCGTCTTTTCTAAAAAACAGTCTCTTCCAGCTGCTGGGAAGACTGGACAGCTACATGTAAAAGAATGAAATGAGAACACTCCCTAATACTATATACATAAATAAACTAAAAATGAATTAAGACTGAATGTAAGACCAGACACTATAATACTCCTAGAGGAAAATAGCAAAAATACTCTTTGACATGAAAAAATAACTACTAAATGTTTTCTTGATTTTTTCAGAGAAGTGTGGTGTATTTCTTAAAAAAATTTTTCTATTGAGCAAATCTGAGTGACTGACTGTGTTATTTTGAGTTGGTGTGTGTGTCATTTAGTGTCACCTTTCCAGGGAAGCTCTGAAATCTGTAATATACAGATGAGCCTTGACTGTGAGCAGGCAAATTTGGGAGTTTGACAATTTCCATCCAGTAATTCTGATTTCTGAAGGATGTCAGCACACAGTCTTTACACACCCACCCTGCTTTCCAGCAACTGTGGGGATTTTATTTTCCTAAGTTGGGCTATTGCTTCACCTTTTCCTGCCTGAAAAGAAGTGCACCTCTGATTTCATTTAAGTTTGTGAGTCTTTTTATAGTGAAATTCTAAAGAGAAGAGGTGGGGAGATTAGTTAACCATGAAACGTGAAACAAAGATAGGATGATCTGCTGATCTTGAACTCACAGGACTATTTAATGGTGAAATTATGACATCTTTAAAAAAAACTGGAAGTACTAGTTAATTATTTTCCTGTTGGTTTCCAAGTTCGAGATCTTTTTTCATGGATTCTCAGGTAGCAAAATTAGTCTAGAATTTCAGAATATATTGTTCCATGGACAGGGGGGCAATGTTAATCTAAATTCTAAAAATGATACAAGTGGTAGATAATACTAAGATCTACCTTTATTTAAACTACATTTGGAGGTTTTTATAAAAGGAAATAAACATGAGTTTATTTCAAAAGTGAAGTATGTGGTTTCTATGTATTGCTTCTGGAATTGACCATGTTAGCTTTGGTGATAACACTTAGAGAAATCATCCCATCATTGTGTTTCTCTAGGAATTGCTTCTTTATGACTGTTTTAAAGAATCTCTCATTGAAAAACATACAAATGTGATAAAGAAATAATTCATAGAGAAAAAGAATAATGGTATGATTAATCACTCTAAGTGTATGCATGTGCATGCTCAGTCATGCCTGACTCTTTGTGACCCCCTATGGAACTGTAGCACTCCAGACTCATCTGTCCATGGAATTTTCCAGGCAAGAAATACTGGAGTGGATTGCCATTTCCTATTCCAGGGAATCTTCCCAAACCAGGAATCAAACCCACATATCTTACATCTCTTGCATTGGCAGGAGGACTCTTTACCACTGCACCACCTGGGAAGCCCATCACTCTAAGAGGCATAACTAAATCAGTGAGATCAATTTTTAAGTGAACTCAAAACCCTAGTTACTAGTTTGTAAGTGATGCCAAACTGGACATGTGAACCCAAACTCACAGAGTTGGTCTGAGAGTGAGTAGGAGGAAACCACTATGTTTCCTCTTTTAAAGTCCGCTAGTTTCTGTTTCTTCCTTCTTCCTTGGGAGAGATGGACATTCAGAAGGGAGACAGTCCTGTGAATGTTGCCCATCTCATCTTGGTTATTTTTCAAAATATGCTGAAAATACATTTTTCATATACTGAAAACTCGCTAACTTACTATAAAGTGACAAAAGTTCATCAGAAATTAGTGCTGATTGGGGTGCAAAGGAAACTCCACAGATATAACAGGAGTGTACCTGAAAATGAAGCACTTTATCACTCAAAGGTTAAAAGAGCACAGTAGATAAAATTCTCAAAATGAATCGTCAAAGTGTTGCTTCTGTTAAAAAAACAAAAACAAAACAGCTTAGATTCTAGGATATGAAATTAAGTGTATGGTCTGTTACATCAAAACTGGGATGAAATCATGCAGTCAAATTGTTGATATTGGTAGTATCTTTATTAGGGAAGAAGTATGTCTCATATGTCTATATAGTCAAAGCTGTGGTTTTTCCAGTAGGCACAGATGGATGTGAGAGTTGGACCATAAGGAAGGCTGAATTGACACTTTCGAACTGTGGTGCTGGAGAAGACTCTTGAGAGTCTCTTGGAGAGCGAGGCGATCAAACCAGTCAATCCTAAGAGAAATCAACTTTGAATATTGATTGGAAAGACTGCTGAAGCTATTGCTGCTGCAGTACTTTGGTTACCTGATGAGAAGAGCTGACTCATTGGAAAAGACCCCGATGCTAGGAAATATTGAGGGCAAGAGGAGAATGGGGAGACAGAGGATGAGATGGTTGGATGACATCATCAACACAATGGGCATGAGTTTGAGCAAACTCCAGGAGATGGTAAAAGACAGGAAAGCCTGGTGTGCTGCAGTCCGACAAATAGTCAGACATGACTGAGCCACTGAACAACACACAATGTCTCATCACGCAGGAAACCAACATACATAAATCTGGGTATCAGCAGTGTGTGCGTTAGGAATCACGTGGTTCAGTCCTTGCTGTGGGACAGCTAACATGTCCATTTCCTGGGGCCTTGTGTTTAGGTGAAGAGGCTCTCCCTTGACTTCATTTACTGCCAGTCCTGCTCTAGTAAAACCTCTTCCCCATCTGTTGATTGGATTTCCCTGTCTCAGTCCAGCTTACACCAGCCTTTCTTTTTGAAAAGTAAGAAAGTTCCACAAAATATAGAAACTATCTGACATCTATGTTGACTACCTGTGAGGGGTGTTGGTGCCTGGTTGGTAGATATAGTACATGTAGTAGATTACTTTGAAATGTTTAAGGTGATAGAAATAAAGTGCCTTAAATTTCAGTTTATTATTTTTCAATTTTGCTATATTCTATTTTTTCCCAAGTTCAAAGACAATCTGAAGTATTCTGTACTGAGATTATAGTTTTATTTATTTATTTATTTTTTAATTGAAGGAAAACTGCTGTACAGAATTTTGTTGTATTCTGTCAAACATCAACAAGAATTAACCATAGGTACACCCATGTCCTATCCCTCCTGGACTTCACTCCCATATCCTTCCCCATCCCATCCTTCTAGATTGTTACAGAGTCCCTGTTTGAGTTCCCTGAGTCATAGTATTATTTGATCCACTTTCCTTAAATCATAACTTTTTCAGTGCTTTCCACTGTTTAAAGTGTGATGTTATGATATCTTGGAGCCAGTTAA